GATGGACATCAGTGCGGTTAAGCAGGTGAGGGAGGTGAATAGATTTGCAGTTTATTTATTTATTTATTTTATTTTATTATTTTTTTTTAAAGATGACCGGTAAGGGGATCTTAACCCTTGACTTGGTGTTCTCAGCACCACGCTCACCCGGTGAGCAACCGGCCATCCCTATATGGGATCCGAACCCGTGGCCTTGGTGTTATCAGCACCGCACTCTCCCGAGTGAGCCACAGGCCGGCCCCTAGATTTGCAGTTTAGAAGGATCACTCAGGTGCTGCTGCTGGCATTTGGACAGGAGAACGCAGAGGTAAGACAGTTAGGAGTCTCTTTTTTGTCCAGGTGAACAGTAACATGGGTTGAACCAGAGCTGTGGCGGGGAGGATGAGAGGCAGAGATGGTATAAACGGGAGGGCCTGATAGGACTCAGTGACAGATGGAAACCAGGACGTAGGGAGTGAAAGTAGGAGAGGTAAAGGTGACTGAAGGTTCTGTCTCTGGTAACTGGGAGAAGGGTCCTGGCATTAACTCTAGGGGATATAGGAGGAGCAGAATTGGGTGTGGAGCAGATTTAGGGTTGCATTGGGGCATATGTAGTGCCTGTGCACAGATCTTTTTTACTTCTCATGTGTGGGTTGCAGTAGAAACTGCTAAAGATACTAATACTGAAGCATCATTACTGGTGTCTTCCAGGTCCTGGCAGGAGAACATCTCTCTGAAGGAGCTCCAGAGCCGGGGCGTGTGTTTGCTGAAGCTGCAGGTATCCAGTCAGCACACCGGGCTGTATGGACGGCTGCTGATCGCCTTTGAATCCAGGAGATGTGGGTCTGCAGCAACGCTTCCCAGTAACAGCTTTACTTCTGGTGTGTGCGTACTGACGCAGACAGGCATTTATCATTGCTGGCATTCAAACAGCAAGTGTATTTCATAAAGACCCTTACAAGGACTAGCTGGAGAATGAACGTTGCAGTGGAGAACCCGTAATGAGAAATCTGGTGCACTGGTTAGCTCAGCTGGTTAGAGCGTGGTGCTGATAACACCAAGGCCCAGGGTTCAATGTGTGTACCGGCCAGCCCCCCCCACCCCACCAAAAAAATCCAACAATTATGTGGCTTTTTGGTCATCCAGATCAGTACTGTCCAAAATGATAGCCACTAGCTACACGTGGTTATTTGTTTTTTCTTTTAAAAAAAGATAACCGGTAAGGGGATCTTAAACCTTGACTCGTGTTTTAGTCCGTTTG